AGTTATTAAGGTGATCAAATGATTCTGAGAGTTGAGGCCCAGGATAAAGAGAAAACTCAAAGTTTTCCATCAGTGCAAGTTGTGGACTTTGTGCACCATGGGGATTGCAGGCAGCAGTGTGTGGGCTGGCGTGTGGGTCACAAGCCAGGGAGCCCTGAGCAGCAGTCTGCTGCATCTCAGGGCTGGCTAAAGCCGCAGGTAGGAGAGTCAGTGCCCAACGCACCATGCAGCTGGCAGCCTGGTCCCCACATTCGAGTGCCAGATGATGGTGGATACAAAATAATCCCATACTAGTTCAGAATTACATATAATAAAGGGTTATTTATTTAGGGACGACTTAGAGATCACTGTCCTAGATCACAGTCATCTGCATGAATGGGGAATAGGAACAGAGTCTAGCAGCCAGAAATAAGAGCCGGAAGCAAGAGAATGAATGCAGGCTTTACAGGTGCATTTATAGTATAAGAGAACATGCCCAAGTGGGCTGATATCTTAAAGGCTACTGGCTGAAGAAATGGAAGGAGCTCCCACAGCAAGCCTAGACTTAGCAACCTGGGGATACATGAACCACAAAATCATTTAGTTGGGTGCAACTAACACAAGTCTGCCAAAATCTCCACACGGGTGATGTTGCCTCCATCTCAGTGGGCTGAGGCCTGGAGTGGAGAGGACTTGCATTTAAATGGCCACAGTAAGATGTCCCCACTGAAGAAGGAATAATCACAACAAGCTTCCCAGATAAAATGTAAGTCTTTCATTGTTCTTGGGTTTAGAAAGGGAAGCAATTCAAGCATATAATATGGTCCAGCTGCCTCCTTCCTCCTCAGTGCCTCATGAATTTTCCCCTCCTACTGTTTACAGTACCTAAGAAGAGCACTCTGTTAGTTGAGGGGCTAATCTTTCTTGCTACAGCTATGTTGTCCTTTGCAGACAGGGACCTAGGAATTGAAAGTTGATCTACCAGGCAGGTTTTAGGTTTCTTTGCAGGGACTACATGTAAGGAGATGTTGGAGGGCTTCAGTTTCAACCCTCCAAGACCTTGCAAGTGATAGGATTGGATAAAGTCACATTGATTGGATAGATAAGCAGTTCTTATTGACAAAATAAAATTACACTATTTAGAGACACACTGATAGTTTCTTAATTATGTATAGGTTAAGTCATGAGTCTAAGTTAAGCCTACAATAAATGTCAGGCTTAATAATCTCCTAGCAAGTATTCAGTTTATGGGGTTGGATTACATTGTGTCCTTTAAGGCTTTGAAATTCATCTTTTTGGTTTAGCTATGAAAGAAATGTCTGACTCTCACTTCTGGACACAGAAGACCTTGGATTTTGCTTTGTTTGTTTGTTTGTCTTTGGTTTTTGATTTTTTTGTATCCTAGATTAGGGTTGGCTTGAGGGAGATTGTGAGTAGAACTGCCCCCGCTGTGATTGTTGCTCCCTTACCTGATTTAGAGAGTGATGCCCTTTCTTCTGAAAAGCTCACTGTGATAGTACCAAACTGGCTAACTGTCTGTCATGCATGGCATCCGTGCTATGTTTATGTTTGTTGCATTCCCAAGAGAGCCAAGTCCACTCAGCAGTTTTTCTCTGCAGTTCTGTAAACTGTCTGGGTAGCCAAAGAGCTTCTGGTTTCCTTCTCTGGGGGTAGGGGTTGTTGGGAAGCATGTCTTAGGAAACCCAGAAGCTGGTGCGAGGACCAGGAAGTAGCAGTGCAACTGGAAGCTGTGGTGGGGAGCACACGTCTATCAGTCTGGACAGGATGCATGAGCAGTTGTTTCCTGCTGCAGCAGGTTTTATCTTGATGGACACACCTCATGGACAGCCATTTAAGAGAAAACCTGGTTGTGTCTGTTAGAGAAAGGGATCTGTGGAGTCATAGACCAGCTCAGCTACATTCACTGAGATTAGATATCCCAGAAAGTCACTCAGAAGTACTTCATGAAGTTGAGAAACGAAATTACTATAAGATGTACGTCTGTCATATAATGATTGGCTAGCCTTCAAAACACACAGTCAGTCTATAAACATAATGGTAGCCTTTTCTTCAAATGTGTATTCAGTGGCCAAAATTATTTTAATGTGAGTTTATGTGTATTTAGTCTCTCAGTGAGCAACTAGAAAAAATATGAATGATGGGAAGAAAAAATAACATGTGTCATGTGCAAAATTAATAAGGGAAGTCTTCAATATCAAGCAGAAGAAATTTTTATTGGTGATAATGATAAAAGAAACCCTGCTTGTCCCTAGGGTTGTTCTTGTCACTAAGGCAGGGGAGAAACAAGCCAGATAGAAGACAAGTAAGAGTGGGCTTGTGTGCCAGCAAGCTATTGTTAAGCATGAAGTGTCCAGGAAGCTTACTGGAACCAGGGTCAGGAACTCAGAGAAGCCCTCCCCACCTCCTCGGGATTCCTTGAATTCCACTCTTAAAAAAAAAAGGGCTTCTGTGGATTTTTCAAGGTCAGACATAAAGATCAAAAGGATCCACAACTCTTGGTCCTGCCTGGCAGCCCCAGGATGAGGGCAGGAAGAGTTACAGACAGCAAAGAAGCAAGTGTGGTCAGAAGGAAGGGAGGAACTTTCCTGGGTCAAATGTGTCAAGTAAGCCTGGAGGACCAGAGTCAGCTGCACGTTGTGATACCACCCGAAGCACCAGAACCAGCCCAAGGTCATGTACTCCCCTACTTAATCTCCTGTTCTCTGATGAATGAAAGATAATAGAAGAATAAGATAGTTACACTTTTTAATTAGCAAAGCATTGTATTTAACATTGCATATATAGTTCTGCTTTACAACATAGGGTAGAAATCACCACACAGCACTGTGTTGTTTAAGCTAACAATTAAAACATCATTTAGAGAGAGATGAAAATGTCACAGTTACTTTCTGGAAGACAAAGTACTTTACACAGAAAAAAGTGATGCAATAGGGTGGTTCCTTTAAGAATCCTAAAGGCAGAATGCTCTTCCTCAGTTCTTTTACAACACTGATGATTTATCCACAAGACACTACATATTCTAAATGATAAGCAGCTTTCCAGTGGACAGAACCAAATCTACAATACGTAGTTTAACAAAAAAAAGTCATGAAAGGAAGATAGCTGAAATTTGTCAAGTAGGAAGAAACACCCTAAAATTTTTATTATACATGAGACAAGTTTCTTTTGATAGCCATTAGAGTATCCTATAAAACTCAAGCCATGAGCTCTTTCCCTCATGGGGTCCTAACAATCGCCAGGGCTTTTGTTTCCATCGAACAGAATTCATGACAGATTACTTCTGAATCAAGGGCTGGCGTTACTTCAAACACAGCACAAAGAAACAGTTCAGACCCTTTAGAAGTTTAAAGGTCACACTGGACAGTGGTGAACACACGGCTGTATAAAAACCACAGGGATAGGACCCCTTTCATAGTAAGTATTGTAGAAACATGAGTGTATGTTTAGCTAAATTATTGCCATCACGTTTTACCACACTACAGAGGAGAAGATTGTCTTTAAGTGTCTTCTGTCACCTGCTTGGCAAGGACACAGGCTCTCCAAGGAAGCCAACAGTTTAGACTGAGCCTTTAGTCTGTGTCTGTAAGGGGGACAGTAAAGAAACTGCAGAAACGGTCAGCAAAGGCAGCAGCTCCATTAGGGGTAGGGTGACAGTTTGTATTGTGGATAAGAGAGAGGAAATAGCCAGAGGCATCCAGAGGAGCCCAGAGCAGAGAGAAAAAGATACAAGACTAGATATGGCCAGGGCTATCTGATGTGACAGAGTGGGTGGCAGTGGTAGAAAAATCAAGGTGACTATAAGGAGGGAAAAGTAGTTGGGAGAGAAGCCTGTGACCTGGAGCAGGTCTGGGAGTTTAGGGGAGGTGAGAAGGGCCAGCATGCTAGTGTGGGGGCATTGAGATGTGTAGAAGTTACTTGTAACTAGGGACTGTGGGAGCCTGGAACCAGCATGGACTTTGATAAGCTGATAGGTGCCTCAAGTGTATGTCCATGGAGAGCCAAATGTCCTTTCTGCCAAACACAAGGGAAATGACCCCTGTTGGTGGACAGCAAACCCATTTCGCAAGTTCCCGAGAAATGTTGGCTTTTATCTGACTGCCAGACATCTTTCCAACTGAGCTTGTGCTCGGTTCTGGGTATATGTACTACCTGAGACCTGAACATTCTGTACTGACTGGAAGTGGACTGACACTTGTACAACATGGCCGGGAGTCTTTATGCACCGAGATGCAGAGATAAAACTATATGATGCCTGACATGTTCCTCAAAATGACCCAGGGATTGGGGCGAGGGGTATGCAGGGATTCCAGATGAATCACGATTGACGACGAGTCCATAGTTGCTATTGTACTCATTACTTTTCTCACTGGTGTGGCTGAACTCCTGACGGGACACAACTTCAGGAAGGGAAAGCTTATTTTGGCTCACGGTCTAAGGTGGGGAGGCGCAGCAACAGGAGGTGAGACAGCTACAGATCACGTGGTATCAGCAGTCGGGAAACAGAGAGAGGATTATTGATTCCTAGGCTTTCTCTGCTTTTAAATTTATTCAATCCAGGACCCAGTCAATAGGGTGGTGCCAGTCCAGGACCCCAGCCGATAGGATGGTGCCACCAGCATTCGAAGTGGTTCTTCCCTCCAGTTAAACCTCTGGAAACACCCTCAGACGCGCTCAGCAGTGTCTCTCCCAGGTGACTCTCAATCCAGCCAAGTGATCCAAGCTTTCTCGACTTTTGCATGTTGTGGTGGTTTGAATGAGGATGGCCTCCATGTACTCCAAGCTTTGAACAACTGGTCACAGTGAAAGGATTAGGAGGTGTGGCTTTGTCGGAGGAAGTGTTGGTGTGGGAGAATTGTCTGTATTCCGTCAATCATATTTTAATAAAACGCTGATTGGCCAGGCAGGCAGTATAGGTGGGAAAGCCAGACAGGAAGTAGGGGTGGAGCAAAGAGACTGGGAGTATTCTGGAAGCAGAAGCTCCCTCAGTCACTCCTGCTGCAGACCACCAAAGAGACAGCATGTAACTTGCCCAGCTGAGAAAGGTACGGAGCTGTATGGCTAACATAGATCAAAATAATGGGTTAAGATAAGTCATAAGAACTAACAAAAAGCCTGACCTAATGGGCCAATCAGTTTATAACCTAATGTAGACTCTGTGCTATTTCTCTTTGGGATTTGCCGGTTGTGGGGTACCGGGCGGGACGGAAACCCCAACAAGCCAGCCTCTCATACTACAAAGTGTGTCGCTGGGCGTGGGCTGTGAGGTTTCAAAAAGCTCATTCCAAGCCCAATATCTCTCCCATCCAGCTGTTGGTAGATCTGATGGAGACTTCTCAGCTACTTGTCCATCACCAACTCTGTCTGCCTGGGCACTACCATGCTGATAATGGACTAAAGTTCTGAAACTGTAAGCCAGCCCCAATTAAATGCTTGCCTTTATAAGAGTTGCTGTGGTCATAACGTCTCTTCCCAGCAATAGAACACTGACTGAGGCACATGTTTGAATTTTCCTTTTTTAAATGTTTATTTATTCTTATTCTTTGACAGTTTCATGCGCTCATGTAATGAATTGTAGTGGTTTTCACCTCCGTTACCCTCTCTCACCCTTTTCTCACTTTGGAGTCCCCTGTTTTTTAAACAAGTCCTCTTCTTTCATGTCTTGTGTGGGGGATGAAGGGTGAGTGTGTGTGTGTGTGTGTGTGTGTGTGTGTGTGTGTGTGTGTGTGTTTGTGTGTGTGACCCACTGACTTTAACTACAGTACTTGCATGAGCACAGATGGGAGGTCATGGTCATTTACTGGAGAACAGACAGCTTCTCAGTGACCACACCATTGAAGGAAAAGCCCCACCCCCAGCAATTATCAACTACAAATAGCCCTGCAGGGAAGTGGAGGGGCTTCTGAACCTTTCTCCCACCCATTAGGCATTGCTGTTGGGTTCAAGCCTGTGCAGGTTCTGCGAAGGTGAGTTCCTCAGTGTATTGAAGACATCTTTTTTGTGGCATACATCTCTGTCTATTCTTTCACCCCTTTAGTGATGATCCCCAAGTGGGTGGTATAGATGTCCCATTTGGGCCCTGGCACTCCATCTGTTCTCTTCGCCTTAACCAGCTTTGAGTCGTTATATTAGCAGATTCTACAATAGCAGCAAGTTTCTCTGATAAAGGATGAGAGCAGCATTCATCCTGAGTTATAAACATGGATATTGGAAGGCAGTTTCACCACACCTCCATTTAACAAAACAGTAGGTTCCCCACACCGTGGTTTATAGCCTCCCACGTTTGCAGTTTTCTCAGATAGAAAGTGAAGTTTAAGAACCAGAAGACTAGACCGGGCAGTGGTGGTGTGCGCCTTTAATTCCAGCACTCAGGAGGCAGGGACAGGCAGATCTCTTTAAGTTTGAGGTCAGCCTGATCTACAAAGCAAGTTCCAGGACAGGCTCCAAAGCTACAGGTAAACCTGTCTCAAAAAGCAAAACAAAACAAAACAAGAACCAGAAGACTAAAAGGAAACACACACATCGTATTAAGAAATTTAAAACAAAGGTAACAACAACAACAAAATGAGAATCAAATATGTCTCGCTTTTTAGAGAAAGGCATTTTTTTTTCAGTTTAGAAGCTGGGTAAGTCAGCTGGGCAGTGGTGGCGCATGCCTTTAATCTCAGCACTTGGGAGGCAGAGGTGGGCAGATTTCTATGAGTTTGAGACCAGTTTGGTATACAGAGCGAGTTCCAGGACAGGCTCCAAAGCTACAGAGACCCTGTCTTGAAAAAACAAAACAAAACAAAACAAAACAAAACACCTAAGCAAGTTGTGATGGCATGACTGGGCATTTAAGATAAAACAAACAAAGACCACCAAAATATCAAAACATAGGAAATCTCATTACTAAACAGAAATGAGTATTTACATATGAGGTATTCAATACATGATGATGTACTATGTTATATCAACACCCAAGTTTCAACTCCAAAGAATCTTACCTCCTGCCAATACCCACTCTAGGTCACCTGGAAGGTTCTGGCCATTAAGCCTTTCGTATTCCCAGAGTCACTCAGCAGCCCCACCCTGAGTGTTGACAGTCTCCCTGTCGGAGGGAACAGAGCAGCGGGAATAGTCACATTATTAAGCCATTGCCCTCACCTGGAGGATCTCACGCTCACTGGCCAATACAAATCACACAAAACCGTGAGGGACCACTAAGTGCAAATCTTCTTTCCATGCGTGAAAGGCACAGTGTGGGAGCGAGAGGACACATTTAAGAAAAAGTAACAATCTCACCATAGATAGCAATTTTTCCCATCAAATTGGCAAAATCTATAGTCCAATGAAAGCCATTGTCAGCAAAGAGGTAGAAACAGAAAGCCTTGACCACTGCTAGCTGAAGAGAAATCTACACAGTGTTTTAGAAAACAAGCTAACGTTTCTAAGTAAAGGTTTCCAAAGTCTTCAAGTCACGAGGCTTACACATATATCACCAACAACACATCCACCCACCACCACATTGCGTGTAGTGGAAAAAGCAAAGACTAAATTGGGCAGTGGTGGCACAGGCTTTAATCCCAGCACGTGGAAGGCAGAGGAGGTGGATCTCTGTGAGTTCAAGGCCAGCCTAGTTTACAGAGTGAGTTCCGGACAGGCACCAAAAACTACACAGAGAAACCCTGTCTCAAAACCAAAAACCAAAAACCAAAACAAAAAGAAAGAAAAGGAAAGGCAAAGACTAGAAACAGTTTTGTGTACAAACATACCACAATAGATGAGATTCTTCCGTGCTCATTTGACGACATATCATTCAGCATAGAAAATGAATCTTAAGCATACATTATTATTTGGTGAATTTTAAAATAATCATATTGAGTGAAAAAGTTAAATCAAGAATTATTGTGTTTCTAAGAAGGTCTCAGTAGTGAAAAATGAGTATACTGTTTAGGATTATGCAGTTAAGCAGAAATGAACACATACCAGCTATTTTAGGGCATGAGTGTTATGGGGCTAACCAAGCCCTTTCTGATTGGATTTAAGGCCTGCTCCACAGCAGGAAACATATACGCAGTACTGTAAATCTGTCCAAGAAATTGTAGCTGGGGAGCTAACAGGCACCAGGGTGAACCTACTACTGTTATTCCGTATCAAACAGTCCTCTGAACTGATATCTCTCTTCTCATAGGTCAGCGCAGCTCTCAGACTTCAGCAGAGAAGGTTCTCTGCCCAGCGATAGTGGCTGAATGCAGAAACTTACAATTGGCCCAAGTGTTAAGTATAAGTGTCAGTGGAACCACAGATGATACGTCTACCACACACTCCCTGACAAGGTTCAGAGATCACCAAGGAAGAGGAGGTGGAAAGGATTGTAAGAGCTGGAAGCTGGGGAGAACCAGAGCCAAACCACATCTTGTGGACCTGGCAGAACCACTACCCTACACCCATACTCACAGAAGCTGTGGCTGTTCGCACAAGATCAGGCCAGCCAACATTCTAATATGGAGTGGGGAGGAGCTCATGAGTCCCACCCCTAACCACGGGGCTGTGGACAGCTCAGGAAGAGAGAGGGACAGTCCATTTTCTTTTAGCCTATGACCTCTGGTTGACTATGCTCTTGTGGATGGCCTGACACCAAGGAGTACATATGGGCAGAGCAAATTGGTCTCAATGGGTTATTTTTTAAAAATGGGTAGCTCTTTCTTCTTATCAAAGATGCTCCTGTGTGCAACATATGGAAGCCATCAGAGAGATCCACAACTGGTCAAAACACAGAGAACAAGTGACCATAGGGTACCCAGCCTCAATAGCTACATCTGTAGTATAAACCCTACAAAGGCTCAGGGAACATTAAGGTTGGCAATTAGAGGGCCAGAGTACATGGTGAAAAATAGAGTCTTCTTGGCATGACAGGGAAGCTGTACTTATGACTTCTCAACAATGTGATTGCCTAAACAAGAATTCTGTAATGACATCAGTCAACACACCAATGTGAATAGGGAAACTTTCACAAGACCACACCTCTAGATGAAGGCACAGGCAAATAATGGTTGTTGAAAGAGGGGGAAGGGAATCAGTTTTCATCAGGGATGAGCTTCCTGATAAGTTGTCTAATATTAATTGGTCAGCCCTAAATACATATACATATATATAAGCAGTAATAAGTTAACTCAACAGGTTACACAGGTGTGTGTGTGTGTGTGTGTGTGTGTGTGTGTGTGTGTAACAGTAATTATGGAGAAAGAGGTCATTAACTCTGAAATGAATGAGGGGAGATAAGAGAGTGTGCAGAAGAGAAGAAGGAGGGTGGGAGTGATATAAATACACTACTCATATATGACATTCTCAAAAATTAAAAATAAAAAGGAAATAAGGACACGCAGTTTGGGAGATAGGAATGTAAGAGTGTATCATGGAGAAACTAGAAAGTAGGGGAAGCAGAAGAAAACCAAAACCAAACAATGCCATTGAGATAAAAATCTTCCTTTTTGAGATCAAGAAGAGCAAAGAACCTTAAGGGGAGCAGACACAAATTGCCAACTATATAGAATTGAGAGGAGTCACTATTACTGGACTTGTGCGTGGAAGCTTCAAAGCTTCCATGTTTATACGAGGAAATGTAAACAACTCTTGTCAATATAATTGGCAAGTTAGATTAAATTAGCATAGTCTTTTGGGACCAGCAATTCCCTAAAGGTCTCTCACCATGTTGCAGTCAACCTGTCCATCTCCACAGCTCTGAAGTCATGGAACACACGGCCAGTGGCCTCCCTCCACAAAACCAGAGCCCTAAAACAGACTGCACCAAAAATGCTTCCTGGAACATTCTACCAAACGGTTAAATCAGAACTAAGACTGTTTTCCTTTATAAGAGGTCCATGGTCATGGGGTCTTTTCACAGCAATAAAACATCGACTAAGGTATACTAATTCTCCATAAAAACCATCAAAAACAGATGAAATATTTACGAAGCCGCGAGACCATCTATGAGCCAAAAAGACATTAAAGGAAAACAAAATATGTAGATAATATCCATTATGAACAAAGTCACCTAAAATTTACAAATTTTACCAAGTGAAAAGTTTATCTTAATAATTCCAGGTTGATTTTCAATTAGAAAATTAACCCATGTGATTCACCATATTGACATTTTTTTAAAAAAATGCATGTAGAAGATCATCTAATGGATATTCAACATCTATTTATGTTGAACATTTCAGCAAAAAGGAAAAGAGAAAGATCAGCCAGATAAAGGGCATCATGAAACCTTACAGTTGATAGCACAGTTAACAGCCTTTCATCCAGAGGAAGAGCAATACAAAGACATCCGTTCTCGTCCTCCCTGTGCCATTGTGTCAGAGTTTATAGAAAAGGGGCCAGTACAAGACGAGACACAAAGAAGGCTGTGAGGTGGGTCAGCCGTGTCATGGTTCATGTTTTGTCAGCTTGACACAGTCTGGAGCTGTCTGAGGAAAGGAAGCTCAAGGAAGAGAATGTGTCCATATGATTGGCCCGCAGGCCTGTAGGCCCACAGGTTCGCCTGGGGTGCATTTTCTTCGTGATTGATGTGGGGGGGGCAATTCATTGTGGGTGGTGCCACCTCTGGACTGGTGGTCTTGGGGTGTATAAAAGAACAGGCTGAGCAGGTCTTGGGGAGCAAGCCAGTAAAGCAGTAGTCTTCTAGGAGGATGGGGTGTTGTAGGTGGTGGGTTTGGAGATGGGCTGGAGAAACAGCAACAGGATCCTTCTTTCTCCCACCTGATACCCTTTCTTCTTTTATTTTTCCTGCTCAGCCCTGAAAACCCAGTCAGACCTCAGGTTGAAAACATTTCAGTTTTTTCTCCTGACCGTAAACAGCTTCCCCTATCTTATTAATCATGGGCAAAAATAGGATTTAGGCAGGAAACAGGAGATAAGGCTAAAAGGAGCTTAAGATAACATCCCACGAGAAGAGAAACTGTAGCATTCCTATAAAAAATGAGTTCACAGAGTTATAAGGAGGACAATAAAAATTTAAAAAGTAAGAAAAAACTCAACCATAGAGGAAAGGCATGGGGAAATGAAACCTTTCCTAATACATTAGTGGTATCAAGATGGACGTAGTCGTGAACACATTTCTAGCTCTTCCATAGAGAAAAATTGATTGGCTACTAAGTGACAAAGTGACGCCATCATCTGAATGGGACAAAGAAATCAGGAGGCAGAATGACCTCAGAGTGGGTTTTCTGGCTTTAAAACATTGTCTTTAAGACCCCTGGTTCCATCAGTCTCTTCTGCTGACTTCATATCTATGAGCTGTCCTGCTTGGTGGCCACCAGATGGCTACCATAATAGCCAGCATCACACGACATCTCCAAATGAAGGCATCCAGGTGTTGTTAGGATTGCTGTATCTGCATGCCTTTCCAGAATAGGAATATCTTTCCCAAGCACCCCACTGGGATATTCACATATTTCACTTCCCAGGACTGCACTGGGTGTTTGCTTCTAGAACAATCATAGTCAAAGGAGAAAGAGGTTGTCCTTGAATAGTGAGAGGCAAACATGGATCAACTCCTGGGTTGCTTTTGCCCAAATTAGCATAAGATACCAAACACAAAGAATATGGATGAGGAATGCGCCAGTGAACTTGTCTGTCACTCAGAGGAGCCCAAAACTTCCTAAGGAGATTAAACAGGAAGTAAAAGAACTTTATGGGGAACTAACCTCATGTATTTCAAAATATTCAGGCCAACTGTGCCTGCCACCACTGAATGTGTAACACCAACTTCACACACTGCTGGTGCTCAATAGAGATTTTTGGATAACAAAGTGTAGATGGTAGTAAATGGTAATATTTAAACACGTAGGGCCATGGTGATGGACTGGGGATGTGGCTTAGTCAGTAAAAAGGCTGCCTAGCACACCCAAAGCCCTGGGTCCCATCTCCTCCACAGAAAAAAATGGGGCATGGTGGTGCCTGCATGTTATTCCAGCACTTGGAAGTTGAAAATAGGAGGTTCGTAAGTTCAAGATCATCTTTAGCTACAAATCAAGTTCAAGGCCAGCCTTGGAGATCTGAGACCTGTGTAAAACAATACATTGCTGAATTAAATGGCTGGCCTTGTCAGACAGACTACAGCTTTCAACCTTCCTAATACTGCGACCCTTCAACACAGTTCCTCATTGTGATAATTTAAAAATTGGCAGGAGAGAGAGTCACATCATACAATAGGGCTCACATAGGAGGTTTATTGGAAGAGGAGAGAGAAGAAGCAGAGAAGGGGGCAGAGAGGGGGACAGAGACTGGTTCCTGGGGACAAGAACAGTGGAAGAAAGAGTGGGGAGGGGAGCTGGAGGGAGAGGGAGAGACGGGGAGGGGGGAGACTCACCTTTTACAAGGGAATGGCATGAATGTGCACAGGGATTGCTCTTGGTGGCTGCAGCCGGGAATGTATCCTGTCAGAACCCCAGGGGCAGGCAGGTACAGATGCCTGAATACTAATAGTAGCCACACATGGGGATGCAAATAACCTGGCAGGAGCAAAGACGTTGCACAGAGATGCCTGTGTGTGTCCAGCCTTTTGGGATCAGACTATTGAGACAATGGTCCCAGAGGAATTAGAAGTTCCTTGGGAGACTCATGCAGCCAGAGGAAGAACTTGTCTCCCAAGAAGAGAGCTCACACAGTTCTGGCCACTGGTCAGACACCTTGCAGAGAGAGGAGCCCAGACAACCATGATGGATGGGGTGACACCTGACCAGATTTGTTTAGTTATAATTCCTCATGCCCTCCATTTAAACTCACACCGCAGATGGGCACTCTTAAAATAGACCCAGGGAAGTCACTGGACCTCTTTGTTCTTCTCAGTGTGGACACGCCGAATAATCTCCTTTCTCTGCTTGTCACTGCTTCTTTTCTCTGTTGTTACGGTTGCCAGGGCCTGCACTCGGACCCAAACAACTCCAGGAAGAGGAAGAGCATGCCAGGGATGACTAACTCCATTCTACTTTTCCACAGAGCTACCAACCCAGATAGTTTTCGAGTCCCACCATCCAAAATACACCATGGGAAGCATGACCAACCACCTCTAGGCCCGTGTTCAGAATGAGGCATCTTTGAGGACTTCATCCTTCAAGCTGCTTCTAATCAGCTGAGACTCTTGAAGAGGCCATCACAGCTTTTCTGCGCTCATTTTTCTTCTCTTCTCAAAGAGAGGAACTGGATGAAGCCTAGAGCCAGGCTCCAGTCTAAACTGCCATGGTTAGCTCGGAGACTCTCCTTGCAGGAACCTGCAATGCTTTTTCTTCTGGGCTGGATGGGAAAACTGTGTGTGCTCTGCTGCTCAGCAGGAAAACGAGGCCAGGGATTCCGAAGAGCCGGGTAGCGATGTAATGGCCTTTAAAACAGGCAGCTAGGTTTTAATTTTCTCTTAGCAGGTTCCCTGGGGTTAAGTGTACTTTACAGGGGATAATAAGCACACAGGATATTTCAGTTGCTTCAGGCTATCTTCTTCAGAAATCGGGTTTAATTCGCATCCCCCTAGGAGGTTTTACTATCAGAATAAAAGAAAAAAAGTCCCCAAAGGAATATTTATAGAGTTTAAATATGTTCAGTGTCACAAGTACCTAAGAGTTCAGCATCTGTAAATATTTAAAATGGAAGAAAGCAAATACTGCTAAACAGTAACACTTTTATATTAAACTGTTGACAATGTGACTGTGTCGAATGGGCCAAATTTTAAAGATGAGCCAAATGCCTGGTAATGAACTCAGTGGTGGAACACTTGCCTAGCTTGTACAAGACCCAGGTTCAGCAAGGGACTAGGGTAAACAGAAGTTTCTGTCCTGCCCTGTCCTGCAGCCATTCTGTCCCAAAGAAACACACAGAGGCTTATATTAATCGCAAACTGTTTGGTCTATTAGCTCAGGATTATTATTAGCTAGCTCTTATAACTTAAATTAACCCATAATTCTTGTCTATGTTTAGCCACATGACTTCATACCTTTTATCAATGAGACATTTTCATCAGTTTTCCTCTGCATCTGGCTGGTGACTGCATCTCTCTCTTTCCTCTTCCCAGAATTCTCCTAGTCTGATTGCTCTGCCTATACTTCCTGCCTGGCTACTTTTTTTTCTTTTAAAGCCAGTACAAGTGACAACTCTTCAGAGTGCACAAGGGCATTCTTCCACAGCAGAATAGATTTCCCATTGGAACACACAATTAGTATCATGCGTATGGTGGCATTGGCTTGTAATCCCAGCACTCTAGGAGCAGAGGTAGGAGGATCAGGAGTTCAAAGCCTCTCTCAGTTATGTAGCAAGTTCAAAGTGATTTCTCTCAACATCCTACCATCCATGTGAAATAGATCACATGGCCCACACTGAAGAGACCCTGGTAAACTTTGGTAAGGAATTCATCACGAAAATCTAGGCAGCATAAACTTAAGTGTTCTTACCTGAATTTTGAGTGTTCAGATCCCTGAACCCCAGCAAGTGCATCATAGCTTTACCTCCTTCTGTTTTCAGCTCTGTAGCAGGTATCATAGTAGATGTTTCGGTCATAGAATCTTTCATAATCTTCTCAGCAGTCCTGAAAAGTAGCAAGTGTTTTCTCTATGATACAGTGATGGGAACAAGGGGCCCAGGAATTATGTGTGTGCTGTAAACTATGTCTTCCCTTCAAATGCCAGATAAGAAACCCAGGCCTGGAATACAGACCTTCAGCTGCTGAGAAACTTATTCTCTTCTAGGGAACTCGGCTCTACAGAGAGCTTCTTGCTTGTAGCTCAGCCCTTCTCACAGCAGCTTCTGAGTGAGAGAGAAAGAGATGAGCTCATTTGTGTCTGTGGCTCCATTCGATGCTGCTCCTTCTTGCCTTCTCTAGGCTAAGTAATGAAGCTCCCTTTCTGCTTATTTTTGAAACCCATTTTCAAAAGACATCTTTTTAGGAGTAGAATTGAAAATGAAAACACGATTTTAGTAAGGAGTAAAGCGGAAAGGTCGCCCTTACATTAGCAGATGTCATTTCTAATCATCTATGGAGAAGGACCTTTTTAACACCCTCCTAAGTGCCTCTTCAAGACCTTGCTGACACGGGAGCGCTACTGACTAATTTGCTCTGGCAGGAAAAATGAATTCACTGTTACTGAAAATATCTTTTCTCTCACTAGAGCCTATTCAGGTCACTGAGTGGCTTTTCACTGGTAGAGGAAGTAGGCATTTGCCACCAATGAAGCATGATGGGGAAGAGAGGAAAATCAGCTTGCTCTCGGCGGCATTTGCAAAATGCAAATCCCAGCCAGTTTCTAGAAGAGCCCATTTCAATACTTCCAATTTCCACGGTTACACATCCATCTGATTTTTTTTTAAAGCAAAATGAATGAAGAGTGCCTGAGACAGACTGAGCAAACAACCGCAAAAAGCCAACTGAAGGAAGCTCTCAGCTTAGTGACTAAGACAACGCCATTTCTCTCCAGAGACGCTCTGAAGATAGAGAGGGGCAATGGATACTCCATTACAACATGTGTAGCCCTCTAACCCGGCAGGGGCTGGACATGGACAACTGGGAAGCTGTCTAAGGACACAACACCTGCAGGGGTCAGTGGGTGTGGCAGGGTTTGAGAGAGGTACACCTCATTCATTCCCTTTCCTTCTCCCACAGAGGTGTGTGGGCCTGTCGTATAAGCTAAGTGAGCGCTTAGACGTGACATGGGAGAAGAGAAAGCTCTTCACTATTCTTTGGGAAATAAATAAGTATAATGTTCAGCAGTCAGAGAGCCCTTTCACTCCCCGCAAATTGGCATCACAGTCAGGATCCTGGCTTCCTTTCTGTACAATCTGCTGGCATTATGATGGGGCAGAATGGACCAGTGTGTGGAAATGAAGATCTCAGAGGGTAGCTTAGGTTATGCTATTTGTTAGAGTTCCTTTCTTTGGTTAAAATGAGACATCTTGGTCAGCCTGTCCAGCAAGTCATAGGACTTATGTGCTGAGAACACAAGACATCATTCCCTGGACAGTTTTCCAGGCTAGAACAATGAACGATTTTGACGAAGACTTCTGACTCTTTGGGCTTTGTCATCGTCTAGGCAGAGCAGGAATGCCTGGTTATTCACCACAAATGCCTGATATGTGATGAGAAAGTCAAGTCTCTCTCACGCCAGTGGTCAAAATCGCAACAGTCGATAGCTCAGTCAGAAGAGTTCTCACTGGGGATACATGAAGAATTGAGTTGAATACTCACAGACAGTTGATGGCTCCCTTTGAAGAGGTGATGGGGAGGCGCAGCCTTACTGGAGGAAGTGCATCACTGGGGGCAGGTTTTTAAGAATTGCAAACCTTACCCCACTTCCAGTTCTCTCTCTGGTTTGTGCTTGTGGATAAGATATGACCTCACAGCTTTCTGCTCCAGCCACCATGTTTGCTGCTGCGCTTCTCACCCCTTCTCTGGAGCCATAAACTAAAATAAATTCTCTTTTCTTTAAGTTGCCTTGGTCATTATGTTTAATCAAAGTAACAACAACAACAACAATAAAAAAGCAATAAATACATCTTCCATCCACCTCAGAGGAAAGGAGGCCAGAATTAAGAAATTACTGTTGAACCACTCCTCAGCAAAGAGATAACTTCCTTTGTTCTTTTTTGATGTATCTCTGGATAGAGTGAAGGGGTGATATATTCAGCTCAGGCAGTCCCACTGACATTTCTGCCCCCCCCACACACTGTATTTTCTGGTGAGCACTATGCAGCTCCCTCCCCTAGTGTACCCCCCTACTCTGTAGCTCACTAGGTCATCCCTAACACCTGGAGTCAGACAGTAGTCAGGGTACATGGAAAGTTCAGCTGTGTACACACCCCCTGGGGTCAGTACTGACAGTGGACAGTTCAGCTGATCTTTGGTTTACAAATGAGGAAAACAAAGCTTGACAGCTGTAGCCAAAGATAGAGAACAGAGTTAAAAACAGAGGAAAGCAAAACTGGGGCCTGGGAGTCTAGTATACCCTCTTCTTCTAGCTGCCAGGTACTTCCAGATTGCAGCCATCTCAAAATCAAGGCCGAGTCCCTTATATTCATACGGATAAGCCAGGCAGGAGGTGTGAGCAATTCTGCCCAAGTTTGTCAAGCTTAAAATCTAATACATTATTTTCTGAAACTGTTTATGCTTGCTTGCCAGGAGCTGCTCTATTGCATTGCATTGCATTTAGTGGTATTTTTATATTTGATGATATCGCATGCTTTTGCCTTGTGTGCGGGGGATCAAACTCTGACCGTGTGATCATTCCGTGTGATCATTAGGTAAGTGCTCTACCACAGAGCTCCAGCTCCAGTCTTGGGCATTTTAAGGTTGTTTGGGGCCCTGAAGGATCCATGGGGCCTGAAGAGGTGGACCCTTGCCTTATTAGACCAGCGGTTCTCAGTGTAATGAAGCTAATAAAGGCAGGATATCTTACCAGCGAGCAGAGAGTGTGCAACACCAACATTTCCACTAGAGGAAAAGAAATAAAATCTGAGTGAGAAGAAGAGAGGTGACCCTCAGTGTCATCTCATAGACATACTTCCCTTCACCTCTGCTGACCATCTGAGAATATCCCTTTCTAAACCAGTGGGTGATTTGGTTGCCATAGGTCAGGCGTGTCATGTTAATGGCTCTGCATGCGTTTCATCAAATCCTCAGATCAGCCTGAGGCTTGCAGTGGTCCCTCTTCCTTACAAAGGCTGCCGCTTAGAGAGGTTAATTAGCACAGCAGAGGTCACGTAGCTGACAGGTGGCTGCAGCAGGATTCAGCTCTCCATTGGTCTACTCCTAAGGCCATGTCCGCAATCAGACACTGACCCGCATCTGAGCAGGTTCAGAATAAGAGTGTGGACCTTGCAGCGGCGAAATGGCAATGCACGGTGATGAACCTACGGGCATGTTGTTGTCGGAGGGAGACATAAGCGCACCGTGTTGCGGGAGCCGCCAGCCCACCTGCAAAGGAAGGCTGTGGTCATTTGTCTTGGTTTTGCCCAGGGCTAGTTCTATTCTCCTTAGCTGCCAGATCTATATTAATCCTATAATTCATTCTTAAACCCCAACGTCTTGTTTCCCAGCTTTCCCCCCGCAGCCGAAGGGAAGCTGAAAATATGCTTTTGCTGGAAAAGACTCAGCATCTGCTACCAAAGGACACTAAACCATCTGGATCATCAGAGAAGTACAGACTCACTTACAAAAGACAGAGATTAATTTGGGCATTGTTTCCCTACATAAAACAGGCATAAGGAGGCAAGCAACCCGGGGAAGGATTATCATGCAGAGAGTAGGAGCCCTTATTACAAACGATTACCATGTAATTATCCACAGCTTCCCCAGAGCGCATAGCCTG